AAAAAAAAAAAAAGTCACAAAGCAGGCAGCAGTCATTACTTCATACCCAAATCCTTCAGCATGAAGTATTTTAAAAACAAAAATATTTTCCTACACAATTAAAACATCATCAGCATATCAAAGAGATCAAGATAAACTTCAACATAAAGTTTATACCTAAAACAATTATCCATCAATCCTTGTTTTAACTTTTAATTTTTTTACCTGTTGTAACGTTACTACTCTATCAGTATTAAATAGGTTATACCAACTGTATATACTCTACACTACCAACTTGCCTCTCTATTCTTCATGACATGGGTTTTCATGAGATTTAACTTGTATAAACACACAAACCCCTGGAGGGGTATTTCCTCATCTCCTCCAGGCCATACATTCTCAGAAAAGTAGCAGCTGGAAGACTATGGGCTGACACCCATATATCGTCCCGCAAGCCAGCTGTCTTGCTACTCACCACCTGCCTCAGCAGTGACTGCAAGACTTTGGCACTGTTTCCATTTGTTCACTCATAACTCTTTCCCTGAATCATTTATTGGTGGTTTCAAAATGGTCTAATTTTCTAATGATTTCAATGTTTCAATTATATCAACTTAACATTATGCCTAATTAATAAGCCCAAATCAAGTATCTTTCATATTTTGAGAAGAGAATCTAAAGGCGGCATATTTACTTAGACTTTAGTGTTTAAACATCCCTGATATGAAAACAAAAAAAATTAAATTCTCCAAAATGTAAAATGCTACTCATTTCTCCCAATCAACGATGAGGACTGCAATCAAGGTATTGAGGATGCTAAGCATAAGGTCTATTACTAATCTCCACCCCTAAAACCAATTCAACTTCCTTTTTTTTTTTTTTTTTTTTTTTTGATACTGAGGAATGTGCCTCTTATTTAGTATCCAAGCTGGTTTGTTTTGTTTGTTTGCTTATAACCACGCCACCACACCCAACTTCCTGGTGATCCTGATATACCAGCCTCCAAAATAACTGAGAGTACACACCAGTTTATCTGGCTTAGAGTATATAATATACCCCATATACAGCAATACAAAACCTTTAAGATCCTGTCAGTGATCAAAGGTTCAGACTTCAGAGAATTTTGAATTTTTGGAATAGGGTACCCAACATTATAATAAAATACTAAATGATAGAAATGAACTGTAAGTATGAGCATCACAAGCATCTCCTACAGTAATCTAACATACTTTTAATTTTACATACATTAAATCTTCAGATCCACCAGTTTTTAATGGAATATTTATTCTTAAAGCAATCTGAAATCTTTAAATAATTTTGGTATTCAATTAACTTCAATGACTTAATGAACTTTAAAAACACTGTCAGTGGCATCTGATTCTTGCTACCAGTAAGGCCAATTTAGGAAAGTACTTACAATTACAGGCTCTGCCAACAGTCGGAAGAGTGTTCCAACTCGTATACTGCGGCAGTTTAAAATGACACTTTCATAGTTTGGGCAGCTTAAAGACATAGTGTGAATTAAAGTTCCATGAGTGTTTATTTTACGACGCTTTAGAGGTGTGCTGATGGCATTGCCAAGCTGAAAAGAAAAAGAAAATTTTCACATAGTAAGGAACTATAACAAGGCTGCAAACCAAGCACACACGCACGAAGACCCAATATGAGAAATGTTACTACATAAACTGAGTGTCCTATCTCAACATGGAAGGAAACAGAAATTATAGCTTTTTATAAGGTAAATTCAAGCACAGTGATCACGACTAAAAAATTATGCTGGCTATGTTCAAATCACAGCCAAAATGCCAACTAATGATTTTGTAAAAATCAGTAGATTACATATGCTTCTATTTCCTAAAATGAAAAGACTAAAAATGTCTCTATTTGTCAGGTGGTAGTGGCACATTCCTTTAAGCCCAGCAATTGGAAGGCAGAGAGAGGAAGATCTCTAGATTCAAGGCCAGCCTGGTCTACAGAGTGAATTCCAGAATAGCCAAGGCAATACAAAGAAACCCTGCCATGGGGAAGAAAAAAAGAGTCTCTTCAGAAGAGTAATATTCCCAGAGCAGAGCAGAGGTGACAGATGCAGACTCGATAGATGGATACTAGTGATGAGTGACAGTGGTTGAACTTAAGATGTGCTTTAAGGTTTTTTTTAGAAAGCAAGTATTCAGGAGAATATTAATATTTAAGAGGGGTATTTTATATATTCACACAGATCAATTACTTGGTCTAGAACCAGTGACATGACTCAACAAGTAAAGATAGCCTGGTGACCTGAGTTCAACCTCCACAACTTAAATAGATGAAGTAAAAAACTCTGTCAGTTGTCCTCTGACTCACACTTCACACTTGCTTTGTGAATATGCACCCCCCCATATTAAGTAAATAAATGTTTAATAAATGACTGAATTATTTTATAGTCACAAATGCAAATGGTAACAAACGGTATTTTATGTTTATAATTTCAATAAAATCTAATTGTGTTTATAAGCTGCATATACCTTATCTGAATTATGATATCAGAAGTATTTCTGATTTGGAATGTTTACAAATATTTTATGAGCTGCTCATTGATAATCTCTATCCCAAATCCAAAACTACCTAAGAAAAGTTTTGCTCTTTGGAGCACTTCAGACTTTTAAAATCATCTCTAAATGAATTAAAGACATAATGAACAACCTAAAAACTATAAACACAGGGAGAGATTTCCAAATGATGAAATGGCAATGGACTTTTTATACAAGACACTGAAAGCACACACACACAAAAGGCCCACAAAAATGAGAAAAAAATTACAAACTACATACCTAACAAAGGGAGAATATCTTGACTACATAAAAAATTCAACAGTGAACACTGACACAACCCAATTAATCAAAAACTGGGTTAGCTGGCATGAGGGAGATAGAGGCAGGAAGAACAGGAGCTCAAAGTCATCCTTAGCTACATAGGAAGTTCAAGGCCAGCCCAGACTAAATGAGACTTTATCGAAAAACAAACAAACAAACAAAAACAGAGACAACAGATGTAAACAGATAGTTCCGAAAAAGAAGATACACAAATGGCTAACGGGCATAGGAAAATTGTGATCAGCACCACTAATCACAAGGGAAATGCAAATCACAACCACTGTGAAGTATCTCAAAACATCATCAGAAAGATGGACAAATGATAGCAAGGATGGAGACAAAAGGGACACTGTAAATTACTGAAACAAGATAGAGATTTTTCCAAAAATTAAAAATAGAACAAAAATAATGCTACTAAGGAAAGTATATGGAACCAGCCTGCCAAAGAGACATATCCACTCCCTGGTTGTTACAGAACTAGAAGAAAAACAACTTAAGTGCACTTCAACTGATGGATGAGATAAAATTACGCTACACAGACACACTGAAATACTTCTCAGACATATAAAAATAGGATATCCTGTCATCTGCCCTATCACGATGGAACTAGAGATAATTACCTTAACCAAAGTGAGCCTGGGCCAGGCTTCTTCCACATCTGTAACCTCAGCCCTGGGGAAGCTAAGGCACAGGTATATCTGAGAACTTAAGGCCAGCCTGTGCTATCCACTGAGTCTAAGGGCTGATGAGGCTGTAAAGTGAGACTCTGTGTCAGAGAGCTGTCACTCCAGAACCCTCCAAGAAAACATAGACTTCAACATATAGCTATGACTTTATATACTGATTTTTCAAGCTATGCAACTGTTTGCTTTGAGTATTTTTCTAAATTGTTAAAAGGTCACAAAGACATTTTTAAAAGAACATGTTGGACATGTTTGTTTTGGCTTCGTTTACAGTCACTTTCCAAATGAGAGCTATTCTATTCACTGATGATAGATAAATTTAAGTGCTGTTCCCAGTAGAATCCTAAAAGGAAGGCACCTGAAAGATTGACACCTTGCTACAGAGCACCACCAAAATGAGAAACAGAAGCCTTCTGGTCAGTGTCCCATCAAAAACCTGAATACTCCTTTCACATGAAAATCCAATTCATTTTACTGAACTCTTCTCTGTTGTACATAATCCCAGTCTATCCCCACAACAAACTCTTTCCAATAAGCATTTCTAAAGTCTGGTTCCTACATGCAACTATTGCACAACAGTGCTCCAGTGAAGTTATACCAATTTACATCTTTGTAACCACATCTGAAGCACTAGGACAGTTAAAAAAAACTTTTGGCCAAATATGGGCCCAGTATGGCCTGCAGACTGATACACCAACCAAGGATCATGTATGGAGAGGACCTGGAACCTCTGCACAGATGTAGTCAAAAGGCAGCTCAGTCTCCATGTGGGTTCTGAACTCTGTTGCCAGCTCTTTGATCACTTCCCCCTCAAGGGGAGACCTTGCCAGGCCATAAACAAAGAGGATGGCTGGGGTCAGTTGGTAGGGGAGAAGGGCTCCCCCTTTCTGAGGCCTAGAGGGGTCCCAGGGAAAAAAGGAAGGGAGGGAGGGACTGGGAGGAGACAAGGGAGATAGCTACAATGTAGGGATGTAAAGTGAATAAATTATAAAAAATAAATTTAGATAAAAATAAAAACCTTTAAAAAATTAGTACAGTTGACTACCTTTCCTACATTATGCATTTTCAATGCCCAAGCACTTGTGTGCCGGGGGTCTCACTAGGACCTCAGGGTTCTCTGCCTGGCTAAGGCTGACTGACTAGCAAGCCCAGGAATATACCTGTGCCCGCCTCTCTAGTGCTGGATTATAATCCACACTTGACTGTCTACACGGGTGCTAAAGATTGCACTCAGGTCTTCTGACTGTGTGGCAGACATGTCAAAGACAGGGCTATCTCCCCAATTAGTCCTTTAATTTCTTTCTGACTTTAAGAAATTACAAATACATAAAGAACCAACTGACGCTATATCCCTTACACTAACCTATCAAACCATGTTCATGTTTTATACACTGATTTGGATCTCTTTTCAGTAAAATGTACCTATAATTCTGCTACTTATTTTGCTTGTGTTATGCTTGGAAAAGTAATTTTTGAGTTGTTTCTCATTTCTTAAGGCTCTGGTTTTTTTCCCCTCTTTAAAAAAAAATGTTCATTCTGCAAAACATGTTCATTTTATAAATTCATGTATCTTGTTAGATGATACATAATATTCCTGTATCTTGTTAGATGCTCTAAAGAGTAATATATATTGATTTAGCTTGAATTTTTATCTTCAATTGGTGGCATTGGTCCAGCCATCTACGTATTAGTGAAGAGTAAATTTTTCCCATTACTAATGTTGTCTTGCTGTTGCTTGGCTTCTCTCTGTTTGTTTGTTTGCAGAGACAGGGTTTCACTTTGTAGGCCAGGTTGGCAGAGAACTCACTCTATCCCAGAATATTCTCAAACATGCAGCGGTCCTCTTGCTTTGGCTTACCAAGTGTTAGGGTTTGCAGCCGTGAGGCACAATGCTCAGTTAACAATCTTGTTTGTATAAAAACTTCACATCTTGGGAAAGAGGAAAGAATTCTTTTGAGAAGGATTCTATATGGTCAAATGACATATATTAAAAATTTTAAGATATGTTAGTTTTTTTGGTTTTTTTTTTTTATTATTTAAATATTGACTGCTTTCCCCAAGAGCCATAGCTTTCCTTTCTAGTGCCAAAACAGAAATGAACCCTCCCCTTACCTTGGATTCTTACCAGGAAAGCATACTACTTTGTAGTAATTTTAAAAAGTCTACTTAGTAAATAGTTATATTTCATTTTCTTTAGCAAGTACTTCCTTACTAACTTATAATTTTTTAAAGATTTATTTATTTATTAATTTATTATTTATACAGTATTCTTCCTGCATGTGTGCCTATATACAAGAAGAGGACACCAGATCTCATTATAGATGGTTGTGAGCCACCATGTGGTTGCTGGGAAATTGAACCCAGATCCTCTGGAAGAGCAGCCAGTGCTCTTAACAACTGAGCCATCTTTCCAGCCCTAACTTATAATTTTTATGTTGTAGCTTACATCTGACAGCATGTCCAACTTATGCTCTGATGGCTATATGTAGCCAACAACAGCTATGAACACAATCACTAACTTACTTAAGACACTGTGAGATTTAAAACAATAATAATAATAATTCAACTGCTCGAGTCTCCAGCATGAACTCTGTATTCACTTTACAGTGGGCATCACCTTATAGTGACCGCGACCTTACAATGTCAAAAAGCTGGATACATCTGGTCCTTTATTCTTTTTTCTATTTTAATCCTCAGTCTTAGTTATTTATTTTTTTAAACATTTATTAATTTTGTTGGTGGGGTACACATAAAATACCAATGCACATGTAAGTCAGAGGACAATTTGTAGGAGTTGGTTTTATTCTCTCCATCATATAGATCCTGGAAAGTGAAATTACACTATCAGCTTGTTAACAAGCACTTTTAGTTGTAAAGCCATCTCACCTGCCCTATTCACTCACTTTTATAACATTTAGTATATTACAATATTGTATGTCATTTGCCTAATAAATCTCTCTCTGAATCTTTTTATTTACATCACTATCTTTTTTTTTATCTGAATATTCTGGAAATTTTAAGCAAATTACAAAATATGCTAAGATATAATTATATACTATGGTGACAAACACTGAAATTAAATAACTTCTAGCCTGTTAGGTTTTCTAAGAAATGTATATACACACACAGACAGATACAGATACACACACATACACGCATGCACGCACGCATGATTAAACATCCCTAAAGTCTGAACCATTCCCAACTCTGAACCTTCCTGAGCACTAACAGTGCACACCTGAACAAGAGATGGGCTTCCACTAAAAAGGCAAATGAGGTACTGGAGAAATGGCTCTCTGGTTAAAGGCACATTCTGCTCTTCCAGAGGAGCCAATTTTAGTTCTCAGCACCCACATCAGATGGCTCACAATTACTTGCAATTCCAACTCCAAAAGATATGATGTCTGTGGTCTTTTTGCTGGTACCTGCATTCATGTGCATGTACCTACACATATACACATGTAAAATAAAAGCAAGAAATTTTAGAAGAGAATACAAGTAAACTAGAACTACTCTATAAAACTTAGCTCAAAGTTATATGTATACTGTGACAAATAAAAATAATTTCCTTTTAGACTTAGTTCCTAGCTCCATATACCTAATTTATATATAGGAAAATATTTCAAATTTTACAAAATTGAAATTTAAAAATTTCTGGTTGCAGACATCTTGGATAAAAAAACCTTTGTTAAGAATAATACTGCCTTTTTTATTCTTACACTCAAGCCTTTAGTTGAACTGTAATTTATTTTTTTGTATATAGTTCAATGGTCTTCTAAGAATCTTTTAACAGTATTTGAGCATGGGTTAATGAATAAGTCATCTTCCCCTACTGTTACTAACAAATTACTCTTCCAAAACACAGGTAGCACCCCAAAGGAAAGACCTTAATCTGAACATACCTGGTCCTTCATTCTTGATTTTCTTGGGATGACAACTGTATTTAACTCTGACTCTGCTGAACTGCTCCTAGGTTCTTGCTCTGCTCGGCATGTATTTGCATTTAGTGCAGCTTCTACTTTTCCAGTAGATGGTGCTGGGGAAGAACACGCTGAGTCAGCAGGCTGCGGGGATATGCTCTCTCGTCTATTAGTCCTGTCGTCGTCGTCATCATCACTGGACAAAATGACTAAAATCATAAAAAAAATCCAACACTTACATTAAAAAAAATTTACATTTCATTTGTCATTTAAAAATTTAACTGAGAAATATACCAAATTTGTCTTAGATTTTCTCTATATCAGATAAATAAAAGCAAATGGAGAAGCTCTTGAGATGGCTGAGCATGTAAAATCGTTTGCTGCACAAGCCCAGCAGCCTGAGTTTAATCACTGGAATTCACATAGAGTTGGAAAGCAAGAACTGACTCATATACAAACAAATGTGTAAATAGGTGAATAAGTAAATAAAATTAATATACAGATAAGTCTGCTGTCTCTCCTAAAATGTTAAAAATAGGCAAATGACATATAACAATTTCAAAACTATTAGACAAATATGAAATTAACTCTTCAGGCTTAGAGCTTCTATAGCTACTACTACCAGGGTTGGAGATACAAGTCAGCAATAGAGCACTAGCTTAGCATGCATGAGTCCCTGGGTTCAATTCTCCAGTACTACCACAAGGAAAATAAAACATGATATAGTTACCATGGAACCACACATCTACATCAGTAACTCACAAGAATTATCCATAGGTCTATTTCAGACTTACAATGTATTATTTGAAAATATACAAATTCTATTCAAAATAATATACATTTAAAATATGTGGCCAAATAATTCTGCCTTCAATATGAAGCACTAAAATTGTAACTAAAGCACTAAAATTGTAATGGTCCTGAGGAGACACTATACCAATAATGTTCAATAAATCTTGCTTTATAAACATGAAGACAATTATAGTGGCAAGTTACTCTTAGATGTTGTGTTCATTATCATAACCCTGGTGCCACCCACACTATACTAAGTATACCCCGATTCCTCATTCCAGGGACACCAGCAAGAATTTCTGTCAACTTCTCTATCTTCAATACTCTTCATGTTTTGTCATAAAATACTAGCTTAAAAATCACTTTTTGATGAACAACCTAAACTAATGCAAACACAGAGACAGCCAGTTACTTATTGATTTCAATGTTGAATCATTCTTTGTTGTAAAACGTTACTTGTAAGAGCTGGGAAAATGTCTTGATCGACTTTATATTCCAGAACCTAAAACTGTGCTTCATACAGGAAAGAAAAAAAAAGTTTTAAAATACCCTAGGTTAATACATAATCTTTAAAGTTTTCCTGTATAAAAAGTTGGATAAAGACATTCTGGTAATACAGCTGCCTGTGAACTACTTACTTCTGTAAGTAACCTTGATAACAGCGAGGTGGGTAAAGAAGGCATGCTGTGTGAATTCACAGGGGCAGTTTTCTTTTTAGTACCCCACACATGCATGTTCAGTTAATACTGAGTAATATACATGCCCAGAGGGCCATCACTACAAAAATATCAATTTATCTCTTTGATTTTGGTATCTAGTTTCACAATAAACACTGGCCTTTTATTATTTTCGAAACTGGTTATTTGATTCAATTTCTCTCCTCTATGAAATCAGAGACAACAATGGTATCTATTTCACAGAATTGTTGTAAGGAAAAAATGATAGGCTAAGTGTGGTAGCACACACCAGGACCCCAGATGTTTAGGAGCCAGGGCCAAAGGCCCACTAGAGCCCACGGGTTTTTGAGTTTCAGGAAGGAAGGGAGGAAACAAGAAGAGGATACTTACTTGGATCGTTTAGGTCTGACATGCTTATCTTTCGTTCTTTCGGGTTTGTGATTTTAGGTATTTTTCCTCCAGGTAAAATGACTTTCCCATTTGTCTGTATGTAATTATGTCTGCTAGCATCACAGGTCACCAAAATATCAACTGGAATTTTTTCCATACTGTTCCCATAAAACTTTTTAACTGTCAATCCTGTGTTTTGTGACTTCTGTCCTCCAGAGTTCTGATGAATTGAAGTTCTTAGCAATGGTCCAGTAGTTTCATTCAGAGTTATAGCTTGTCGGTAATTTCTTTGCAAATCATTATGAAAAACAATACCACAACTTTGACATTTGGTCTGATTTTCTTTTTCTTTTCCACATTTTGGGCAACATTCACGCTGCTCAGAAACCTTATGTCCCCAAAAACAAAACAAAGAAAAGACTTTGGTATTTTACGTTAGCATCAAAAAGCTCCTTTTAAAAGTCTCAAAATGAAGTCTTTGTTTTCCTATCGTCACCATCATGGGCTCCCTAAGATCCCGAGTAAATCAGCCTATATTTGGGGTCAGCATCAGAATGCTAGAAAAGCTTTCAAGGCCATCCAACCTAGTATTTAGCTATGATAAGCTGATTTTTAACCTTAAGAATCAAAAGGGAAAGGGCTGGGAATGGTAGAGGCACTGTGTTGCATATAATGGAGCTTAGGTGTGATTCTCAGTACCACAAGCACACGAGCAAAATAAAAATAAATGTGAAACACACTAAGTACTTGGCTTCAACTTTATCACCTACAATAAAGATAAACAAAACATATTTAAATTAAAAATGCTTGGGAAAAGAGCAATTCCAGGTATTCTTTCTAGAAAAATGATAGTAAAACATAGTAAGTGTATCCTTACCTTTCATCAGCTAAGACACACATATCATAAAATTAATTGTAGCAATTAGAAACAAAATACAATCCGTTAGCTGAATCAGACTCTGAAGTTTTAATGATAAAAATTAGATATAAAGAATTTCAAACCATGGTTCAGTGGTTAAGATTACATCCTGCTCTTGTAGAGGCCCTGATCTCAGTTCCCATGTAGCTCAAAAAAGCCTATAAACTCCAGGATCTGACACCTCTGGCCTCTGAGGGCACCCGACTCAAAAGTTCATATACACAGACAAAGACACATAATTAACTTTAAAATGAACATTAAAAAAAAAAAAGAATTTAATGCAAGAAATAGTGACATACACTGAAAGCACAGCACTTTCAAATCTGAGAAAGGAAGAGTAGAGTTTAAGGCTGGTCTGGGCTACAAAGTGAAAACAGGCAGGCAGGCAGACATGCATGCACATACACCTCCCCAGCTGCAAATTTATGAAGCTGGGGATAAAGCTAAGCTTTGGTTTATATCTCCAGCACCATAAAAACCCAAACTCAAGTGAACCTCGAAACAAAATGCTTAGTTTCTCTAACGTGTATGCAATGTTCCCTCCCTTCCTTCACTTCACCATTATTGACTTTCTGAGAAAAGGTTTTACTATAAAGCACTAGTTGTCCTGGAAATCACTGTGTAGATCAGACTGATCCTGTACTTGGCAATCCTCTTGCCTCTTTCTGCTGATGAGTTACGTAATTATAAATATGTACAGCTCAAAGTAAAAATTTACTTTATTCACATAAAGTTAAAATTTTGTTAATTATAATTTCTTGCTGAAAAAAATTGATTAAATCCTATTTTTGTCTCATTTGGTCAGAAAAAAAATCACCACGTTAAATAACTTCAAATTACAGGGTTAGGAGAGTGGTTTTTGGTAAGGTCCTTTAAGCATGAAGTTTGATCCTCAAAACTACAACAAGAAAACACTACAAATTTAATGTTGCATACTATGTCCAAGGCTGTCTACATGAAAGACCTTAATAAAAACAAGCCTGTTGGGGCTGGAGAAATGGCTTAGCAGTTAAGAGCACTCAGTGCTCTTCCAGAGGTCATGAGTTCAATTCCCAACAACCACATGGTGGTTTACAACCATCTATACTGGAATCTGTTGCCCTCTTCTGGAATGCAGGTGTACATGCAGACAGAGCACTCATATATAAAAAATAAATATTTTTTAAAAACCGGTCTCAGATAATGTGATTTTTATGTATCCAAAAGATGTTTCACTACATTAAATTCAATGATTCTGTTTTCTTAAAAGTAGTGCAGTGTTGAGTCTTACAGTCTTAAATGGAAAGATAAACCACTAACCTTGTTTTCATATTAAAGACTACAAAGAGACTGTGTATAATTTTTTCTCTAAGAGAAAATAGGATCAACTGGCACAGAAGTGGAGTCAAAGAAGGCCTTTAGGCATAAAGCAGTCCTGAAGCAGTTCTGAGGCTTTGAACCGGTAGCCCAAGGAGGAAGGATGCTGTGATGAGAAGGAGCTTTCCTCATTCCTCCCCACTCCCCAGCTCTTTTTCTTCTTTTAGGACACACCAGCATGGCCTGAGTCAACCTGGCAAACAGGTCATTAGGGGAAAATTGAGCAAATGCATAAATCCAACAAGGATGATGGGAGTCAGAGTTCTATGGCCAAAAAGAATTACAATCCTACAGAGGGCAAAAAGATAAACACTGAAATGAACTCAGGGTCAAATACACACATGTGTATTTCCTAGCCCTATCTAAGGGTAGGAAATATAAATAGAAACTCAGTATCAATGACTATAATTAGTACCCAAATAAATATCTTCTTGACATGTGAAGGGAACAATGACTTCCTAGAGATATATGACTCTTGGGTGAGAGGTTAAAAACACAAGTATGTCTAAACTGTCATGTTACACGAAGTAATGGAGACCGCAAAGAATGATGGTGGTTATGTCAAGCAACAGGGACCAGCTTGAAGGGATGACCCACAAACAATAGTAGGTATCACATGTGTTTGTAAATATATGAAAATTAAAGATTCAAGTAAAATAAGAGCACATGTGCTCACAATGATTCTATTAACTAAATAAGGGCTGAAGAGAAAGCACTTACTACTCCATTATCAGGCCCAGTATTCACATCTTACCTCTTCCCCCATCCACACCTGCACTAAGCCTAGCACACCTGCAGTCCACTCCTGCTAGCAGAAATAAAGCAATGTCCTTTTTCTTTTTTCTTTTTAAATGTAAAACTAAAGAAAAAAAGAAAGAAATTACTAGAATTGCTGGGAGAAATGGTGGACACTGTTAAACCCAGCACTCAGGAGGCAAAATTAGGTGCATCTCTGAGTTCCAGGACAGCCTGGTCTACATAGTGAGTTGCAGGGCAGCCAGAGCTACAGAGTAAGACCCTGTCTCAAACAAACAAAAAAGAAATTGATGGAATTATTCCAGATGGAAATACTCTAAACAAATGCAACACATGATCCTGAAACGAACCATAAACCCACTGAAGATCACTGTTTACGTGAAATCTGAATGAGGATGTAAGTCAGTGATCAGGTACCTGCCCAGCATGCCAAAGTCCTAGGTTCACGGAAAGAAAAACAAGGACTGAATTTTGTGGAACGAATAGTAAGCTTAAAAATCAGTATTTCCTGTAAGGTTTACTTTATTTCTAAATTATGTACTTGTTGGGGCAGTATGTGCATGTGTGAGTGTAGGCTCCTGTAAAGCCCAGAAGAAAACATCAGATTTTCTTCTGGAGTTTCAGGTGCTTGTGAGCTGCCTAATTTGGTGTTTAAAACTAATCTCAGGTCCTCTGTGAGAGCACTATATACTCAACCACTGAGCCATCTCTCTAGACCCAAACTAATATTTTTTTAATTAATCTTTTTCTTTTTTTGGGCAAAGAGAGAAGCAAGAAGTGAGAGGGAGAGAGAGAGAAGGAGGAGTCGGGGGAGAAAGATGAAAGAGAGAAAAGAGAGAGATGTGAAAAGAGAGAGAAGGGGTAATGGAAGTAAAAAGAATGAATATAAACAGGTCAGAGGACAAGCTTGAGTTTCAGCCTTTCCTTCCTACTTTGAGACAAAGCATCTTGTTTTGACACTGAATTTTCCTGTCTCTGCCTTCCATCTCACCTAAAATGCACTGGTAATACATGTATGACCATCATACCTGGCTCTGAAGATTTGAACTCAGGTCCTCAGGCTTGTTTGGGAAATTACTAAATGGGGCATTTCTCCCACCCTATTTTTTAAAAACTTAATAGATATATATTATACAACTTGAAAGCCAAGGCTAAAAGACTGTAATGAATCAGAGGTTACCCTGGGCTACAAGGCGAGTTTCAGATCAGCTGGTATTAAGAGAGACCTCGTCTCCCAAAGCAAAAATCAACCAAATAAAACCACATATTAAAAAAAATATATTTTGTCTCCTTTGTTTTTGTCTGAGTACAATTATCTAGACTGTGTTACAGGGAAGCACTGATAAATTCTTTACAGAAAAATAAAATCTGTATTTTGGGACAAGTAGGAAAATGGTCTATTTAAGCCAGAAACATTTAATAACTTTAAATAACTTTAAAAACATTAAATAACTTTTCTAGGTTTCTTTGGGTCCTAAGATGAAAGATCACCTAGGATGTAATGAGAAATAAAGATACTGTGAATGAGCTGCTGAGAGGCTCTGCAAGTAAAGCCTGCATGCCTGACAGCCTGAGTCTGATCCTGGGGATCCAGCATGAAAGAACCAACTTGCAAAGGCTTGTTCACAGACCTACACCTACACCATGGTATGCATGTGACTGCCCCCACCAGTTACAAAATTAGACTTTAAAATAGTAATAAAAATACTATGTGATTAGTAAGAAGAGCAACTTCTCCACCTACCTCTAAATGGGTCAAACACTTCTTTGAGGCGGGGGTCAGAGGAGATAGCTGGTAAGTACTACAGTGCCGCTTCTGCTGTGCTTTCCTCTTAATTTCAGGCTCGATACACGATTCCGAGTCTTCAGTTTTCTTCACTATATGGCCTAAAGGAAGCGGGTGTGAAAAGCACTAAATTTAAATTTAATAAATTCTTTATGATCTTTGCTATAGAATTGTTAAAGTCCATATTATCAAATTTTAATTTTTAGTGAAGATGGGACAGTGTATAAACATGTATGATAAAGAATAACCCGTTGGGTAGTGGACAGGGGTGCTTGCCCCCAATACTGACAACACGAATTTATTTCTCAGGATTCACATGACAGAAGAAGAGAACTTCCATGTTGTTCACTAACAACCAGTGTACACACATGTGTGCACATGCTAAACACATGTGAAAAACAAAAACAAAAAATCAAGACTTTTAAGATTAAGGCAGTAATAATGTCCAAGCTACTCTTACCTGTTTTTCCCTTCTCAGGCTTTCCACATGGCAGACTACTTAATTAGTATGACAACGTTTTATTCAGTTGAGCAATAAGGCAACAGAAACACCATACTGAACCACACACATGCCCCTTTCCTTCCAAGTTAGCTCTGTTCTTAGATTAGTAGTAAGAAAATAAAGAAATTAAAACATTTGGTACAAAGGTTTGGAAAAAGTTAAATTAAACTAACCCTGAACCTACTCAGGTGAATTTTGTGAGTGTGCATTTCCCCCTAAAAACATAGGAGAATTGTCTTTATGTTAACCAGGTTGGTATGAACGCACTATGTAGTCCAGGCTGGCCTTAAAGTTGTAAGCTTCCTCCTGCTTCCTGGATCCCAAGTCTAGCACAGCTATATACCACATGTCCAACTTCCTTTTCTCTTCTGACTCCAAAACTTCATGTGGCCCCTGGTCACACCAGTCTTGATTCTGTATTTCATTTCACAGAGGTTCATTTCTCCAGAGTATTCTCTTCCATATGTTACTCTCCATACAAGCAAATTCTAACCCAATCTATCTGATGAATGCAAACCCTTAGTTGCTAAGAAGCCTTTGTCCCACCCTGGTCAATTAATCAATCTGTAGTTTCCATGAGCAATCTATACTTCTATTACCACTCATTTAATAATAAAATACTTATTTGTACTGATCTACTGTTGCCAATATGCTGAGAGAAATCTGGTTTTAGTATTTTTGTTTCTTTGTTTTTTTTCAAGACAGGGTTCTCTAACAAACTCTGGCTGCTGTAGACTCCCTCTGTAGACCAGGTTAGCCTTGAACTCAGAGATCCGCCTGCCTCTGCCTCCCATATGCTCCCCAACACCCAACTAGTCATATATTTTTCTAACACCCAGAAACCACAAAAGACAAAAACTGGACAAGAATTTACCAGATAATGAACTACATGAAGACAAAATGGTATGACGAATTTAAGGATGAAAGTAGCAAGGTGTCACAGTGCAAGCCTTTAATCATAGTACTTGGGAGGCAGAGGAATTTAGGGGAGGAGATGGTAGATGTTGCTAACTCACCTTTGAAAATGATTTACCCCTTTACATTATAGAGATAAAGCCATGTATAAAGTTAAAACCTGAAGACTTAGCCTACAACCTAAGGACACGAAAAACTTAAGAAAAAAATTTATCAAGGTTTTACGCTTGAGGTTCCACAGAGAAACACACTAGTCTAGAGCATCCAGATGTTAGCAGTTTTTAAGTTTACTTTGCAATCTCTAAACAAATGATCACTAAGAGTTATACTATCACACTCTGAATATAAAAGAACATAGACAACATTTCTAAAATCAGAAAGTACATAAACACAGGTGTCTAGAACACAACTTTCTTGTGAATTTAGTTAACAGCAAAATAGTCTAAGGGTTCTGAGTACTTGAAAGGCTAAGGCAGGGAAATTGGGCCCAGGAGTAAACAGACCAGACTGGGCAACACAAGAGAGTATCACAAAGAAAACCCTTAGTTTCTTTAAACAAAATGTTGCTTCAGATTCGTTTTATTTTACTTTGCCTCACTATGCAGCCCTGGTTGACTTGGAACTCAGTCTATAGACCAGGCTGGCCTTGAGCTCACAGAGATCTGCCTGCCTCTGTCTCCCAAGTAGTAGGATTAAAGGCTTGTGACACCAGGTCCTACTCAGTTTTTGTTTTTTTGGTAACTAAACTCAATAATGAACATAAAGGAAAAGTCCTTTCCTTATAAACAAATATCCACTAAATCTTATAAATAAAACACAAGATCTGTGAACATTATTCAACTCAAATATATCAGTTTTCTACCAAATGCTTCTTAAATACAAGTTACATTTAATTAAAATACAAGTAAATATAATAGTATGCATAGTATTAAAAGATGAGTATACTGTCTTCTCTTTGTATTTCTTATGGCTACAAGTTGCAAATGCCTGTCACCTGTAAGAAATGTAGTACTTACATATAACCTGTGAATATTTGCCTATACTTTAAATCATTTCTAGATTGCTTATAGCACCTAATATACTGTAAATGCTATGTATACAGTTATTTAACTGTGCCATTTAGTGAATAAAAACAAACAAAAAGAAGATACATGTTCAAACACAAGGAATTTTGACAGATGCAATTTTCTTTTTTCGAATACAATTGCTCAAAGTGGCTGAATCTGCAGGCACCAACTCCAAAGTTACGAGGCTCACTGCATATGGATAGAAAAGTGAGATTAAGTGTTTAAATAAGGACTGAGGAGATGACTCAGAGGTTAAGAGCACTGGCTGCTGCTCTTCTAGAGGTCCTGAGTTCAACTGTGAGCAACCACATGGTGGCTCACAACCATCTATAATGAGATCTGGTGCCCTCTACTGGCTTGCAGGTACACATGCAGGCAGAACACTGTACACATAATAAATAAATCTTTAAAAAAAAGTGTTTAAATAATAAAATGGACTGGTTGAGTATGAGAGGATACTTTTCTTCTGTACACGTGAATCAAACAGTTATTTATCAGCTGACTGTAATTGTAATCCTAAGATATAACTGTATGAAATATGTAATTAAAATATATATTCAAAGATATAATATCAATTCGTTCTAAACTTTTAGAGGAATACTAAAAACTGTTGCAAAATGAAAATGAAGCTTAAGGAAATAATGAAAAGGAGGGAGGAATGGGTGGTTTTAACATTTCATTACATAAATGCTATTCTACATGCTTAGAAAAATTAAAATACTACCAAGCAAAACAAACAACAAATCCAATGTATTTTGACAAAAACCTAAAATAATTTCACTTACTAGCTCATAAGCTTTAACTTTTTATTTCAAAACTGCTTAGCAATGCTAGCAAAAGCACATGACTGTAACTTACTAAAAAAACTGCTAAATTCAGTACCCTGAGGCCACAGGGGGGAAGGAGAAACACACAGTAGGATTGTCTTCTGGTCTTCACACATGGGATGCAACACTTGACCTAAGCACACACAGACACACGTATATACACATGTATACACACACATACACTCTCTCTCTTTCTAACTAAACATCTTGAATATCAAGAACCTGACTTTTATTTAAATCTTAAAATTCATTTGATGATGACGGTGGTGGTAATGTGTGTGTCTTTGAGTGCAGGCATGCGCATAGCATAGTACAACACGTGGAGGTTAGAGGTGGAGTCAAGTCTCTCCTTCCACATTTGAGGGATCAAACTCAGGTTGTGGAACATAAGTGCTCAAGCACTTTTTTATCCACTGCATCATCTTGTAAGTACCAAGTAATTTCTGTTAAAGGCAAAACTATTCTAGGAGCTGTACTAGAAACAATGACATGTGAGCTCCATGCAGTATTATATGCAATATTATGCTAGTACCATAGTTTATTCTATAACCAGGAATAGACTAACCTGCCTAACACAAAAGAGGCTGACAATGGAAGGCTCCGTTACCTTTAATATAATTAAAGAAAAGAGGTAGCATCCCAATATAAGCTTTTCTTACTCTCAAAATGAGTACACCTTAGGCTGAAGTTGTTCAGTTGGTAGAGTGCTTACTTGACATGCACTGCCCAGCACTACAGAAACCAAGAGTCTATCTAGGACATGAGCCTCTTAAAAACACCTCCCCTACACATGCTTACAATTTAAAATATGCAATATTATCCTGAATGAAATTTCTAAGTACTGCCCATAAAAACTTACAAATGTAAAAGAGTGTATAACTTTCCTGCAGAAAAATAAATGCAAAATAAACGAAAACAAAATATTACCATTAGACAGAATCAAGCAGTATTGACTGAATGAATGAAGTATTGTTGTATGAATGAAGAACAGATTTATTAAGACCTACTAACAAAGCTACGGGTGGTGGTACAATTCTGTAATCTGAGCACCCCAGAGGGTAGGAAGAGAGGAAGGAATTTGAAGTCAGAATTAGACATACACAGTTTGAAGCTGAGCTATATGAGGCTGTCTAAAAAGTTCAACACCCCTCCCCCCAACACACCTTTAATCCCAGCACTCAGGGAAGCACAGGCAGGTGGATGGCTGAGTTCAAGAGCAGCCTTATCTACAAAGTGAGTCCAGGACAGCCAGAGCTCTGTTACATAGAGAAACCCTGTCTCAAAAACAAACAAACAACAACTACACAAAAATAATCAAATCAGACAGTGAAAAGCTGAGGAGAAACAGGGGTTCTGCAGTACCTCAAAGAGAACTTTACTAAGTCCCAAAGGAAAAACTAATTTTACAGTGATGAAACCCCAGAGAAACTACTCCATAACGAAGTGATTACGATACAAGGCATGTGCTGCAAAGCCTGGCTGAGTGAATACTCTTGAATATTAATTAATATTGTTGACTAAACTAAGTATTCTAACAGGCTGCCTAAATGACATAATGATAGTAGGTCTCATCACTTAGCCTTTCTGGAATGTATTTGTCAATTGGGAATATTAGAAGAGCAAAGTAACTGATCAAGAGATTTGGCATTAAACAGACCTGGGTTTCAGGTCATCTCTGCTACTGCTTGCTTTATAAGCCTGGGCAAACAGTTCAGTGATTCTATGGCACTGTTTGCTCTTCTGTATAAAATGCAGGTATAAAATCTGAATTTAGAGGACTCTTTCATAAGACATAGAACCTAAGTACATAATAAATATAATTTAGAGTCAGTGTTCAATGAAGAATAAAAGTATAACAGAATGGACACTGAAAAAGGTGGCCGTTATTGCTAAACTTAATCTATTAACATAACTATGTACTGCAAAGTATAATAATTCAAATTTGAAATGAGTAATACAAGATAATGAGAAATAATGAAACTGAGCATGAAAATTTTTACTTACAAAAAAGTGGTATAATTTAATGCATTTGGAACTAGGAACTATCATGTTTACAAAGAAGCAAAGTCTTGTCTGTAAACAAGAAAGACACATGTTAAGAAAGCTATTATAGGATCTGTAGAGTGCTTTTGAAAAGGACCAAGCTAAGTTCCCAGCACCCATATTAGGCAGCTCACAACTTCCTGTAACTCCAGTTCTAGAAGGATCAGAAGTTTCTGGCCTCCATGGGCAGCTGTATACATGTATAAAATCAACACAGATCCATGTACAGCAAGGTTAAAACTAACAAATATAAACCTAATAAACAAAAAAGCAAATGAATAAATAAATAAATGATCAATCAATCCATCCATCCATTCCAGATTGGGCTGAGCAGCACACACCTTTAGGTTCCTTCCACCCCAGAGGTTAAAGAAGGAGCATTTAAGTTCAAAGACAGCCTGCAATAGAGAAATAATAATCCTGGGCTGGCAAGACGGCTCAGAGAGTAAAAGCATTTGCAGTACAAGCTCAACCACTAGAGTTCTATCCCAGGATGTATATAAAAGAAAAGTTGAGTTGAGAGTGAGCATCTGTAAGTATGCATCCCACCAGCACTCTAAGGTGACGACAAGTGGGAAGGAGTTGCCTCAGATTTCAGGGCTAGCTGTCCTGGAGCAGTGTGGCAGAAACAACAAAACAAACTGCCTCAGCAGGTAAAGGGAGGGAGAAGTTGTCTTCTACCTCCACACATGGCCCATGGCATGCAACCCTAGATACCCATTAAAAATAAATTCAAATCACTGTTTTACAAAAAGAAAACCATTTGATATTGAAATGCATTCTATACATATTATCTCTGCATTAATACAAAACTGATCTAATATAAAACTATTTTAAAGCTACAGGTAATCTATAATTAACACTTGGATCTTTAACAAAAACATAAATATAATCCAAAGATTTCAAACTGTACTCCTCTGATTGTACAACCATCCTGACAATAAGGCCACAGTTTAAAAAAAAAAAATTTTAAATATGTTATAAAGTATGGTCTTCAACATGATTTCAAGTATGCCTGATACTGATGCTAAAGCTAGAATCTATATTCTCTCTAGTTGTACTTTTCATGCAGTCATTCAAAACTCTTCACAGGCTAACAAACAAAACTACACACTTACCTCCACCTTGGCCATGAGTTAACATTACAGGGTTGTTTTCAACTTTGTGGACATGAGGTGGGTATTCTTTCCTACAAAAGGAAATGTGTATGGTTTCATTCAAATAGGAAATAAAGTTTTCAAAACAACAAAGTCAAGGGACCACTTACAATATATTTATGCCATAGCTTGTCAGGTTAAAAACTGATGCTATAAAACTGCATTCAGAAAATAATACCACAGCTAGAGACCAGCTGTGGTACCTCACTTAATCCGTCACCTACCAGAGCCACAACAGCAGACTGTTGGCACACACATTTAGTAAATGTATTCAAGTTACCAGTTTTCAAAGCAGTCATTTGTTTACCTGAATCTTTATTTTTTTTAGAAAAAGTGCCTCATTTATGATCTCAAATTGTCAGATGCAAGAGACCCTCCTGTCTAAGCCTCAGGGAGCTAGGATTCTAGACACTATGTTTAACTTCCTTCCAAAGTAATCACTCTGGAAGCTACAGATTTATTCCTCAAATGTAAAATCTAGACCTTGTCTCTTGAAATTGCTTTTTTACCAGTTTATAAAACTCACATTAAAACTTGTCACATATCAGTTTGAATAAATTACCAAAATGAGTACAACCCAATTTTTGTTTTTTGCATAAATGTTTTTATTTAAAAAGTATTCAATGTATAAAGTGACTATTGAAGAAAAAATGAATATTCAATAAAATTGGTCTTGAATACAACGCTAATATCAGTACAAAATATGTTTCGAACAAATCCATCAGTTTTAGAACAGTGATGTCTTGTTTTTATCTTGTCATAAGACATTATGGCTGGAAATATACTTGTCTAAAAATATTAAACTACTGTCAAACTTAATATGCAGTTAGTTATCATTACTTTAGAGGGGGGTCTCATAATATATAGCACAGGCTGGCTTCAAACATACAATCCTCCTGCCTTGGTGCTGGGAGTGCAATCATAGGCCACCACACCTGGTTCAACCTACAACCTTTAATAAATATAACTTCATTAAGTAAGTACCCTAGTAGTATATCTATCTAAGTCCAAGTATACTAATTTTGAGAAAACAAAACAAAAAACAAACGTGTTCTATAGCTAGTATCAAGAAAAAAGCACCACAGAAGGAAAAAGAAGTACTAACTCAAGAGGTTTAACAGATACTTTCCAACCTTGAGTGTCTAAAAATACTTATTTTATAATAGCAGAAAACTAAAGAAGCTATACTATTTACAAATGTTCACACTAGTGTTCAGTAGTTTTTTATTCAGTACAGAACAATGTAATTCATTTTATTAAATAATTCACAAATGAATATTCTTTCAAGGATTTCATATTTCCACATAAACTCAGAGCCCTCACAATATGAATGACAAAGAAAGTACTATTAAATGTAAGAGCAATCAGCAAACAATGAACACTATGTGCGAGATACTAATGCTCTTCAAAAGTTTTGACTCCTTATTCTCTTGATAACCTTTCAAGCTACATATTATCAACATTTTTATGTCTGAAAAACAGAGGCACAATAAAAGTTGATTAACTGGTCTATAGCCCCACAATTATTAAATGTCAATTTTAGAATTGAACTCCAGCAAAGTGTGTCAGCAACAATGACTAGAACAGTTTCAAGAATATGAAAACACTTTCTACTCTGACAAGATTTTAAAATTGGTGATGATATAAATTGTGTGACTCAGAAAAGACTTGCCTTTCATACAGTGGTAGCAATGGTACAATGAAAAAAAAAGTAAGTTAAGCTTTCTTTTAGCTCAGTGGATGCTACTTGTTTGCCTACCCTACACAAAGACCTGTGTTTGATTTCAGCACTTTATATTGTACATGTGTGTGATTTTGTGTGTGTGTGTGTGTGTGTGTGTGTGTGTGTGTGTGTGTGTGTGTATGCATGTATGTAATTCTAGCATTCCGGAGGTAAGAGTCAGGAGAATCAGAAGTTCAAGTCTGGGACTAGAGATGGCTTAGTAATTAAAAGAAATCTTAACTACTCTTGCAGAGGAACAAACATCACTCTCTTACAACTCTAGCTCCTGGAAGAGTTGGAAGAGTCAATGCTTCTAACCTCCAAATATATCTGTGCTCATGTGCCCATACCCACAGGAAGATATAACTCACACATAATTAACAACAATAATAATAATAGATTCAAGATTCAGCTACCTAGAGTTCCAAGACAGTCTAGGATATGTGAAGACATATACCAAAGAAAAAGAAGGGCTAGAAAACCTGCATAAGCCTGGGCCTATCAACATTCCATCATGAATGAGGAAGGAGCTCATGGGGGCCCTCTCTCCTTGAGGAGCCATAGCCAGTTAATCATTATTGGGGGAAGGGCAAGTGACAGTTCTTAGTAGTGTAGCCACTGGCAAGCTGTCCTTAAGTAAAAAAAAAACCCCTCACCTATATTCATTCGAGCAACTCTAATTAAATGTGGTGTGCTGTGGTGTGCTGTGGTGTGGTGGAGTGGACTGGAAGAAGGAGGGAGTGAGGGAGGGACGGAAGAAGGGAGGGAGATGTAAGGAAGTAGGTAGGTAGGTACTTGTTAGGAAAAAGAGGTTCTGAGGAAGGGAAAAAGGTAAGAGAAGATACTGAGGAGAGCAATTCATACTGCGTATGTATGAAATTGTGAAAGAATAAATTTAAAATGTTCAAAATTAATTTTTAAGGGCTCAGCATGGTGGCACATGCCTATAATTCCAGCAGTTGGGAAAGCAGATGGACCAGGAGTTCAGGGTCAACCTCAATTTCATAGTGAGTTCAAGGCCAGCATGGACTACATGAGATTCTACCTTACAAGAAATGTCTTGGGCTCCTAACTATACTATATTAATCTTAAAATATACATGTTCCATACTAAAAAGTTACATACTATAATAAAGCCTGAAGCAAATACAGTAATATTCCTGTGTCTTCTATTTTTTAAATTATGGGCAACAAAACAGTAAATATTTAAAAATGCTGAATATTAACAAAACCCCACAATTATTTAACAATTATATAGATACACAGCCTAAATAACATGTATACACTGCATTAGTGAATTATGCTCTTTGCAATTTGACACTCTGTACTACCATGCATTGCTAATGAGGATGAATACATGAATATCATTTAATAACCCACAGTGCTAAAATGTGTTGCAATATGTATTTTGCTTGTATTCCAGACTTCATAGCTACTGTTTCCAAATTGCCCTGCATACTTTCCTACACAAATTAAAAAAAAAAAAAAAAGCTGCTCTTAATTATATTAAAATGTGGAAACAAAAAACCCTTAAGCTTAATATTAAAATGTTTCCATACGTATCACAGAGATCAAACTCGGTCTGTCAAGCTTACTGTCAATTGCCTTTATCCCTGTACTCCCTTTACTTGCCCACTTGTTTATATAGAAGTAGCTTTGTTTGATAAGAAAAGTGAATTGTTATCCATAATCATTTTTTTTTTTTTAATTGTACTTCCCAGGCTGGGTATACAGCTGTAGGGTAGTACAACCAACGGTTTCTGAGTGCTGTATTAAGGAGTGTCTACCCAGCTCTTCCTCTCCCTTTTTCCTTCAATAGAGATAGGGCTTCTCTGTGTAGCACTGGTTTGGCTGCCTTTCACTTTTTAAAGGTCTCTCGGACCCAGACTGAGCTAATACAACTCGGATCCTACTGCCTCACCTCCTGCTTAAGGACTGAGATTACAGGTTGTAAACTATCCCACGTAGCCAACCTTGTCATCCTGTCTAAAGTGACCACTTTTCTCTATTCTTGGCAACAATTCAGTTCACATTTCAAAGAACAGCAATATCTACATACTTCACACAGTTATTCTGTTTTTTAAAAAGTTGGCCACCAGTCCATTTTACAAAATATGCAAAGTTATATTAGCAAATCTATCCTGCTCTACAAAATGAGTTCCAATCTACAGGCAGGCCTTGCTGCTTAGCTTAAGCCTATCCTCAATCTCCCACTCCTCATGCCTTAGCCTACTCAAGTCTTCCTGCTACAAAGACCTTAATGATTTACATGTATGCAACTTTACTCTTAAGGTATTGAAAATTTTATTGTTACAGAAAATCAGTCAGACATAAAAATAAATGTATAATAACCATCCATACAATTATATATTCATTGAGAATCATACTGAAACAGATATCACAAATATCACAATATATTATTAATAGGTTTCCCATCATTGAAATAGTAAGCTTTAGTAATAAACTCTAATTAGGGTATTGTTCAAAGCATATAAGTTGATATTTTACTGCTACAGACATGTTTTAATTTCATCAACATTAGGCTTACCTTTCTTTTCGGTCCTGATTGCTTAAAACATGAAAAAGAAAAAAATGTAAGAGAGGAGACGCATTGTTGATATGTCATTGCAGTTGTAATTATTGCAGTCAACAAGGCAAAACTATTAATATGAGCAACTTTTAAATGATATTTTGCATATACTATATGTTAGCTACTGCTTTTTCTCCAATTTTGATGAACATAAAATAATTTAAGTAGTCACATATTTAATAAGAAGACAGGGATACACAAAACCATGAAATTTTTCAAAAGGGCTTTACTTATTAAGCACTTAATAGTAGATTATTTTATGACAGCCATAAATATCATTGTCAATAAATAATATTTCCTAGAAGTTATAAAAAATTCTAATAATTTCAAATTTATTATATAAGACACAAAATTTTTAAGGCTAAAACTTGTCTTGCACAAATTGTATGTTTTTTAGTACTCAAGACAAAGACCATGAATTATAATCATGGTCTCTTACCACAAGTCCAGAGTATAAAATATAAAAATTTTGTATTTCTCCACAATTCATGGAAACTCCAGAAAACATCAATCACTCAAGGGTAAAACTATAGTCTTCAGTATAGAATAAAACAAAACTCACATTCTAAAACTATTGTTCTTCATCATGTAAAGAACTAAATGTTCAAAATTTTAAGTAAAATACAAGTAACAAAATCTCAAAACTGTAGTACCACATTCCTCTCCTGGGGGCACACAAGCAAGCCAACAATACGACCTAGCATATTAAGATAAAGGGATAGTAATTTTCCTATGAGCAGCACTCAAGAGACACATTAACTGTTTTTAGCAGTGAAGAAATAATACATCTACATTACTATATCTGAAATTTTATCTTTGCTATTAAATATATGTCAGGTGACAGAAAAACAGGATAACATTGCATTCCTGTTAAAGTCAAGGAACTAGAAAGACACACGTTCAAACACAGCCTAGCTTCTCTGTCTCTTAGGAAGCTACAGTCCCAGAAAACATAAGTACCTAAGTGAGATACTTCTAACAACAATGTTGATCCCAGGAGGTGAAGAAGAGTTTAGAACTGCTTTGTTGCTTTTAACATTCACCTGTACACAAATCAAAAAGTGTAGAATATAAAACAAAGATAACGAAATTTGTTTGGTTCTTCCCAATAAACCAAGAGAAGTAGGAAAAGAAAGAAATTATTGCCACTTCTCCCTTCTTTTCCTTGAGAAAATACATTTTAGACACAGGAGATGTCACTCAGAGGGAGTGGAAGCCCTGTGTTCCATCCTCAGCCACACACACTCAGACACCCCCACACACAAATTTATCAGCCACAGCATGTCACAAGAGTTTCAATGTATGTATTATCAAGTCTCACCCCAGAAGAAGTGTACATATATAAAAGTAGATTAAACTTGTAGAAGTTATTATTAATAAAATAGGACTTTGAAAGTGTCAATTAATATTCCTTTTTGGATCATTTCATACAAAATGGAAAGGAAAAGTTTCTTAGTTAATACTGTACTAGTGGTCTTAAAAATAAACGAGGGAGGAGGGTTCCTGGAAAGATGGCTCAGTGGTTAAGAGCACTGTCTGCTCTTCCAGAGGTCCTGAGTTCAATTCCCGACAACCACATTGTGACTCACAGTAATCTATGTGATCTGATGCCCTCTTCTGGCATGTAGGTGTACATGCAAATAGAGCATTCACATACAAGAGTAAATAAAGCTTTTAAAAAATAAATAATAAAAATAAAATAAAAGGAGGGGCCAGAAAGAGGGGTCAGTGGTTAGAGCAGATACCCAAGTTTAACTCGTGGCTCACATATCTGGGATGCACACCCACCTACAACTCCAACTCCAGAGGATCCCACACCCTTTTCTAGCTTCTGAGTAGTTTTGGAGTCATGTGCACACAGCTGAATACAAACAAATAATTAAACAAAATAAAAATAAATACACAAACCTTCAAATAAAAACTTTAAAAAGGGGGAGGAAAATAAAAACCCTGATTTAACTCTGCTAGTGTTAATTTAGGCCTTCAGACTTCTCCCAAGGTGGAACCATGCATTCATAATTAAATCTTGCTTATTCAGGGCTTAGTTTTCCGTATACGGTTTACACATGTTTTGCGTGTATGTGAGAAAAGGTCTCAATGAAGGCTAGCCTCGCAGGATCCTAGCACTTTTCAGGCTCCGAAGTGGTAAATTGCAGGCAATTACCACACCTCACGGGATTACACATGTTTTTAAACACATTCATCTTTCCCTTAAGACTTTTTAACTAATCCTTTAAAGAAAGCTAAAGAAAAAAAAATTTTTTTGATCAAAAAGTGAAATTATACCAGGGCTACACACAAAGAAACCCTGTCTTGAAAAGCCAAAACAAAATTAAAAAGTGAAATTATAAACAAAATACATAACTATAAAAAGTGTTAGTTTTTAAGTCTGCTTAAAAGTGAGGTGGAACTGCAATATAAATAGATTTTTATTTAAATACCCGAAGTTCATTTTTCTCTTGTTACTTTCCTTTTGTGTGAGTCTATCTTTTATGTCTAAAATAACTTTGAAATAGTAGTAAGAAAACAGGCTAGAAAGTTAACCATCTGCCCCAAAGGCTATAAATCTGATACAATAATATTTAACAACCTTCCCTCATGCCCTTTTAAGATTAAAAAAAAAAAAAAAAAAAAGGTATTAATCTTCCTTACAAACTACAAATTACTAGTATGTAGGTCTGACTGACTTAAAAAACAAGCCCTAATACTCTGTCCTGTGAACTACCAAATTGGTGACATTTTTAAATTTCAAAAACATAAGAAAACAACATTGAGGAGGTGTCTCTCTCAATGTCTCTCAGTGTCTCTGAAGCACACTCAAAGGCTCCTCTATTATATCCTGCAGGACAGCTCTGCTCTGTGGTTGCTCACTTAGTTTGCATAGCTTTACTACTGAACTCACACCTAAGCCTTTGTTTGCTCGGAATCGAGAGGTGATGGGTATAGAACCCAGTGTTGTAGTGTTTCTGAGACAGTTCTCCCTGTGCAGTATCCCTGAGTAGCCTTAATTCACTAGCCCAAGATATCCTCAAATCCATTGCATTTTTTCTGCCTCAGCTTGATCCTGAGTGCTGGGGATTATAGACATATGCCACCACATATAGATTCACTTACTTGCCTTCCTGTCTTTAACCATAATTCACTGAATTTTATTTTAAAAATAGTGGGACTTTGCCATATGATTCTTCTAATACACAGTTCTTCATTTATACCTGTTTTGTAACATAAAAATCACTTTGTTTTTTGAAGGAATAAAACTGAGAGGAACTTTCAATGACTAGACTTTAGACTCCAAAACCAAAAGAAAGGTCACAGAATAAAAAAATGTTTACAAATGAGACAAACATGAATGGAGTCTGTCCTGCTCATTTAAGGAAACTTTAAAGATTCCTTAACATTCTGGTCAGACTCAGGATTGTCTTGGAATATGAATTAATTGCAGCTGTTCTTTTTCAGAAAAGAATCTTTTCCAATAAACATTAATTAGCCCACTTACAAATTAAGACAGATGGCAGAGATGAGCATCAATACACACACAAGGTACAACAAGGCAAAGGCCTAGGATAAAACAAAACACAACCCAAACTTCTGACTTTAATCTTTCTGTGTGACCATACATCTTATCCTTTATCCTTATGTTAATGCCCCACGTTGGCCAGAGTCTGATTTGTTTGTGTACCTTACATTACAACTAAGTAAATTTTTGATGTGAGAGGTAACATCTGTCTTTTGTACTGAATTTCTTTTAAGATTTTTAAATCTTATACAACATCTAAAGCAAAATATCTAAGAAAAACAAAGTTTTCTTTTAATCATCTTAAATTATGAAAAAAAATTAAAGATTTTAAGTTAAAGATCTGTTGTAGTCAGCAGATATAGCAAGTTTCTAAGGTCTGAAACATAGTTTTTTAATAAATAATAAACTTGAAAATAAAAAATATCATGTAAATTGTATACCAAAAATAAATGTTATCAGTTACAATACAGTATTTACAGTGTTACCAGACTAATTCATAGGGTCTAAGAATTTTGAATCAATTGAAAGACGATATTAACATTCTAAAAATGGTTTTGAAAAAGCTCAAAATCATTTAAAAGACTTAACCTTTTCCCAACTGTTACTTTCATTGTTTTAAGGATGAAACAGTACTTTCAACATCAGTGAAAATTCCTAAATTTATTAAAAAAAAATAAAATAAATAACCACCACTTAAAACCAATGGGATTTGTTTGATACTCTGAAATCTTTAGTTTTGCTACTAAGGTCAACTACCAGTACAATAGTTCAGTCCAGTTCAGTAAGATCAGTATTATGGATCAGCTTCATTAAATATCTTCTTAGACCTAAAAAGTAATACAGCAAATAGCTCTTATTTTAAATTTTCCACAAAAATGTAACTTTCTAAAAAGCAAATATAAAATAATCAAAATGTAACAACAGGTCACGAATTATTTAGGAGATATAACTCTTCAAAGACAGTGAAAACTGCCAAGTTCTACACTTAAAGGGGGTGTGAAAAATCCTACGTAAAAAGACGAAATCATACAGTCCTTACCTCTGAGCCGCTGTTTTGATGCCTGGAGTCTGCACATGAGCATGATGGAAGCGTCTACCGTGAACTACAGTTCCAGAGCATAATGCCGTAGCTGGTGTGTTTTCACTAAACATTAAAAAACAAAGAATAGTCTGGGCAGAGGAAAAATCGCATATACACTGACAAAATAACCCTTTAGAATGTGAGCACACACACGCACACGCGCGCGCACACACACACACACACACACACACATACACACACACCATTGTGCACAAAAATAATGAGGAAAAAAAGATAAACCAAATTAAGTATCTAAAATTGTCCACTAGGAGACTTAATATCTTTTCAACTACTTCCAGCCTCCTCAAGGGAAAAGTGTAACTAGGATAGTAGAGTAGAAGCCCACAGTCTAAAACTTTAATTCTGCTCCTAACTTGAAAGTTACCTGATGTTTACAGATTTTACTTAGCTATTTACACAGTAACTGAGTAAAAACAAAAGTGATTTTCTATTTATGAGATGTTACTGATTATTAGTAGCTCAGTCCTAGGGTTTCAATGATTTACTACCATAGCCACTAGGAAAGGAACGTTTTACCTGAACAAGAGGAATAACAATCTCTTAAGAGAAAAACAAGACCCTTGTTGAGATGACCTCAACTAGGACATGTTAAGTGAAGTGTGGTACCAACATTATTGTGCTTCAGAATTCTAATGCTGTGACTGATTTTCTACTTATGTGAAAGCAAATGCATTAGAGGTCATACACTAAAATGTTTCTTGCAATGTGCAAGAAATCATTACAATTAAATCCTAGTTTAAGATTCAAAGCGGACTGAAGAGATGTCTCAGGGAGCAAAGTGACTGAGAGCTTGAGTTCAGATGCCAAGTATCTATAAAAAGGAAGACTCAAAACTGCATGTGCGCCAAGCTGTTGGTGGTACATGCCTTTAATCCCTCCACTCAGGAGGCAGAGGCCAGGCAGATCTCTGAGTTCGAGGTCAGCCTGGTCTATAGAGTTCCAGGACAACCATGGCTGCACAGAAAAACTGTTTGGAAAAACAAAACAAAACAAAACAAACCAAACTGCATGTGTATCAAAGCACTGACAAGGTAAGGACAAGCAGATTACAGGAGCTCACTGATAAAAGCTGAAACAGTAAGCTAAAGGACCAGTGAAAGACCTATCTCAAAAAAATAAGATCTAGGCTAGGCATGTTAGCACACACCTTCAACCAGCATTCAGAGGCAGAGGTGGTAGATTTGCATCTCTGAATTTGAGGCCAGACTGATCTACATAGTGAGCTCCAGGCTAGTCAAGAGCTACACAATGACCAGGTCTCAAAACAGGAAAAAAAAAAAAAAAAAAAAAGTTAAAAAAAATAGAGGAAAACACCTAACAACAAATTCTTTCCGGCTTCCACACATACTACCACAGGAAAGCACACATGTATGTACATGCATTCATGCATCACGTACACACACACTCACACACACATATGCTTGAAAGAATTTTTTTTTTTTTTTTTTTTTTTTTTTGTAAGATTTAAAGAATCTGTGCAACCTCCTGGCCTTACTGAAAAATTCAAAAGAAATGGGGCAGGGAGGCCGCTAGCCAACAAAGGCAATTTAGCATCTAGTATCAAACTCTTTCTTCACCTTCAAGCATCTACACATCATTCTTTCTATTTTTAAAGAATTTATTCAACTTTTGAATGTACCTCAGTTTCTTACTGTTGCTTAACATGTTAAGTCCAATTGGGTTGCCTTTCAAAGTTTTTAAACTGTCAGTCTTGTTTCGTCTTACATAAGTCTTCAAGATGAAATCACCAGAACTAGTAGCAACAATTTCAGATCTCCGATTTAACTGCAAAAAGATCCACAGATATTAAAGAGTCAATGAATGACATCACGTTATAATGTATCAACAATATCTGAAATATCTCAGTTTAAAAAATGAGGCAGTTATGCTAGCACACAAGGTAGAAGCAGGAGAATCACAATTTCAAAGCTAGCCCAGGCTACACATTTAACAAGGCTGTGAGCTGGCTAGGCGGGCAGATACTTACCACCAAGCCTGGCAAATAGGAGTTTGATCTCCAAGACTTACAATGGTGAAAGTGGGAGAACTAATTAATTCAAGTTCTCCTCACTCACACACACACACACACACACACACACACACACACACACACACACATACACACTCAGAGAGAGAGAGAGAGAATTTAAAATTTCAAATGTCAACAGGGAACAATGACCTCTAATCTCAGCATTCTGGAGATTGGGAGGCAAAGTGAAGACGACTGCAACAAATTTTGAGGCCAGTCTAGCCTATACAGTGAGTTCCAGTCAGGCTATTTGAGTGAGACTTCTCAAAGGAAGGGAAAGAGGGAACGGGAAGAACAAAGAAGAGGAGGGAAGGTAGAACAGAGGAAGGAAGGGGATAGAAAAGATAAGTACACAGCTGCTGGAGACTGGGAGGGGATGGGGTTGTATGGTGAGAAGATGGCAGCAAGAGGAGAACCTGAGGGAAATTTTTTTTTCCTCCTAAAGAGAATGTAAACTTTTAAGAACAGGGAATATATTATTTTTCTTTTCTCATAAAGCTCCCCCAAAACACTTAGAAAATTAAGATAATGGGTCTTGGGCTAGTTCTCTCTAATCAAAGCCAAATCAAACCAATAGCAACAAAAAAACTAAGATTTCCATTGCTAAATAGGCCTGCTGCTATCAGTAGGACAATACTGCAAGCTATGTGCCTTTGCCTCTTCTTCAGAGTTCCTACATCAATACAAACTGAGGTAATGTTTTTGTGCCTCCACAGATGTAAATGTCAACATAAACACACTGACAAGAGCCTGGGGAGAGCCCCAATATTTAACCAATCCATCCTTGGTACAATTTACTTTCACACTCTATGGTCCTCCGTTTTTTGTTTTGTTTTGTTTGTATTTTTTTTCCTTTTAAATGGGTATGAGTGTTTTGTCTAACTGTATGTTAAGTGTACTCTGTGTGGCTCTGGTGTCTGAAGCCAGAAGAGGGTGCTGGATCTCCTAGAACTGGAGCTATAAACAGTGAGCCAGCAAGGTGGGTACTCGGAACTGTACCGGATCCTCTGCAGAACAGCAGGTGCTCTTTCCCACGGCTCCATCTCTCTAGCCCCGGTTATCAGTTCTAAGTGATACTTTCTTTAAAGTGATATAAAAGAAAACCACACATCTACGCTACTATTTTTTACATACATTATCTATTTACTAATTTCACATATGCAGTTCTCTTTTTTCTCGAAGTGTAGCAAGCAACTGTTGCTACAGTGACATCTCACCATGGCCTTATCTGTTTCAGTCAGGAGGTGGTGGTGCATGCCTTTAATCCACAGCACTTGGGAGGCAGGGGTAGGCAGATCTCTGAGTTTGAGAACTGCCTGGTCTGCAGGGTGACTTTTAGGACAGTCAAGGCTATACAGAGAAACCCTGTCTTAAAAATCCAAAAAAATAAATAAAACAAAACAAACCACCAAGGGCTTACTATGGAAAATTGGCAGTAGTCTTATTTTCTAGCCCAAAGTAACTGTTCATCTATTTACTCAACAGAACAAATTCTCTAAGGCACAAATAAACTGGCAAAAAGGAACAGAACTATCTGAAATAGACAATAGGGTTATGACTCTCTCTCTCTCTCTCTCTCTCTCTCTCTCTCTCTCTCTCTGTCTCTCTTTAGGTAGATGTTTGCTTACTAATGTTCAAAGCCCAGCATTGGATCCCTGGCATAGTGAAAAGGCAAAACAAAACCACAAAACTCCCACAGATGTCTTCATTTTGAAAGCGGCTGCTAGAAGCAAAAGATTACATTGAAAACTGATGGTAAAATTAGTGGCATAGAGACACATTCTTATGTATGAGCAACTGGGAGCCAGAGGCAGGACTGAGTCTGAATTTGAGGTTCTCAAACACTTTTCTACTTAGCTGTCTTACCAATGCTCCAACCATGTTTCTGACTAAGGAATTATGTGTTTTCAAATAGTCTTTTTCTGAGGGCAAATATGGTGGCACAAGTCTAAAACTTAACAAATGGAGAGGAAGAGGCAGGAGGGTGGATTGTCCACGGTCAGCATGTGTTACAAAGCAATATTCTGCCTCATATGGATGGATATCTTTTTTGAGAAAGCTTTTGGAAGAGCATCTACCAACAACCCAATGCCATCAGTTTCTTACTTGCTGCCTGTAGGTTGTTTACAGGCTAGATCATTTCAGCCAACAATAAAGTAAGCAGTACTTCTAGTTTCATTATGTTGTAAGACTTAATGTGAAATGTCCCCACAGGCTCATGTGTTTGGACACTTGGTTCCTGGCTGGTCGTGCGTTTGGAAGGTTGTGGAACCTCTAAAAGATATAGTCTGGCTGAAGAGAACGTCACCAAGCATGGGTTTTGAGGCTTTCTTTATATTCTGCTCCCACTTCCTGTTCTTTCTGTGCAAATGTGATCTGATCATTGCTTCCCATCTGCCAGGCTGGGCCACACTCCTGCCATCCTGCCTTTCCCACCTTGATAGACTGTTTCCTCTGAACTGTCAGCAAACAGGGCCTTTCTCCCCTGACTCATTTTTTTTTTGTCAGAATATTAACTAATTAATACAGTTAGAAACTACAAATCTCATAGAAAATATCACTTGTTATATTGTCAATTCCCTTAAAAAGGCTTTCTTCACTATCTGTTACATTTAGCTCCAGGAAAAAGCAATTAATTATTTCTTTTCCTCCCCCCAAAGATTTATTTATTTACTATGTATACAGTGTTCTGCCTACATGTATACCTGCACCCCAGAAGAGGGCACTAGATCTCATTTTAGATAGTTGTGAGCCACCATGTGGTTGTTGAACTCAAGACCTTTGGAAGAACAGCCAGTGCTCTTAACCTCTGAGCCATCTCTCATTTTTTTATTTATTATTTTGGTTTGCTTGTTTGGCTGTGTGTTTTGGAGACAGGATATTCAGTGCAGCTATGGCTGGCTTTGAACTCAAAGAGAAATCTGCCTGCCTCTGACTCCTCAGGTCTGGGATTAAAGGCAAAAGCCACATGCCTGACTTACTATGTTTTCCTGAGGCAGGTTTTCATACCTTGAAATTCCATGTAACTGAGGATGAACCACCATTCCTGGTTTATACGGTGCCAAAGTTCAAACCTTTGGTTTTATACATGCTAGGCAAGCACTTTACCAACTAACCTACTCCTTAGGTCTGTAAATGTGTTATTCTATAGGAAAATCACACATACACACACACACAAAATCACAAAATACAAAAATATAAAAATAAAAAAATATAGTACGTCCAAAATTGTAAGATTGTAAGTAAGACAAAGTGCTATGCATGTATGAAGACTGAAGCTTGGATTCTCAAAACCCAAATAAAAGTCAGGCAGGCACAGTGGCTACTTGAAATCCCAGCATTTGGAAAGTGGAAATAGGATACTCAGAAAGGGGGCTAGCTGGATGAGCAGTATCAGCAACCTCTGGGTTAAGCAAGAAATTGTGCCTCAATAATAAATAAAGCAATGATTAGTCAAAAAAAGAAATTCAACTCTGGAGCACAAGCACATAAGCACCCCCACCAAACACACACACACATTTTTTTTTTAAAGGAACATAAGCCAGGTGTGGTGGTACATGCCTATAATCCCAGTACTCAGGGAGGCAGAAGGAGGCACATCACTGTGAGTTGAGTTTGAGGCCTGCCTGGTCTACAAAGCAAGTACAGGACAGCCAAGGCTACATGGAGAAACCCTGTCTCGAAAAACAAAAAACAAAAACAAAAAGCAACATAAACACTACTTACTAGTTTAGATATCTAGTATATATATTTATTTTTTCTGATTATTAATGGTTTTGTTGGTAATATATCAAATTATTGAAGACAGAAAATAAAAACTGAGTCATTTATGAATGATCATCTCACAGGTTAGAACATTCCCCTTCACAAAAATCTAGATGATATTTTTGGCCCAAGTCAGTTTTCCAAGCCACATACTACTGAGGAATGGAGGAAGATGTGGCACAGTTTGCAGAGTGTTTGCTTGGCATGCACAAAGCCCTGGCAATGCCAACTCTAGTCCTCCTGTTTGCGGAGCAAACACTTCCCACTGGACCATCTCCTCAGCCCCAAAGCTGTTTCTATGGAATCTTAAAAGATGCTCCAGAAATTCCAAGTCAGAGCAAAGCTAGGAAACTGTGAACAGTAGGCTCCCAACCACATAAGGAAGCAGGGCCTGGCATACTACTTGGAGGTCTAACCCCCTCCTCCTTTTCTGCTTCCTAACAGCCAGGAAGTTATGTGTCTACCATGTTGTAAGAGGCACAAGCAACCATGGACAAAAAAAAGAAAAAACAAACTTGAGCCAAAATAAATCTCTCTCCTTTATATTAAGTTGATTTCGCTATTTTTTAATACCAATGGAATCCTAATTAAGACACATTTCTATGGAGATAAACAACAACAACAAAAAATTAGAAGTATTTGTGTAAGGAGACAGAAAGGGTAACACTGGGATTTACAGTAAAAACATATAATCTTTGTTTTGTTTTGTTTAAAATGACATAGCCTTGACTCTGTAGCTCATGATACACAGATCAAGCCTCCCTCCATTGACTCCTAAGTACCAGGATTACAAGATACACTATTACCATGCCCAGCCAAATTTTAAATAACCTTTTTTTTTTTGGTATGTAATACAAAAGAAAAAAAGTGTTTTTAAAGCAACACTTGCCTTTTTTCCTTTTGAGGTTTCAGAATCCTCATCTTCTACACTGAGCAGATTTGCCCCACTATACAGAAAATAAAAGAAGAAACCTTAAGCAACAGTTAAGAGTCCACACATTAATGCCCTTGGCTTTATCTTCACAGCTCATATAACTGGGGGAAATCTGCAAACTTTGCTGCAAAGACTCAGGCTTCCCACAGAGTAACTATAGACGTTTTCTGTGACTTCTTTGTCACAGCAGTGTGAAATAACTATAACACTGTAGCCCTGGCTGCTTCCCAACACAATCATGGACAAATCTAGGCAGCAGGCAGCAAAGCTAATGTGTTGACCCCTACCTTAAATGAACATATGACCTTGTTTCTCAGCCTACAGACTTTGTAGTCAGCCATGTTCACTATTTTCTTCTCTACCATGAGTTGGCATTAAAGAAGAGAGAAGTTATAAAAGCAGAGTGCCATCCAGGGTAGGGAGTTAGCTAAGGAGAAGCAAGCAATCCCAATGTTGTTACACAATGACGGTCACAGCACCACCCTTGGAGACATAAACCTTTCACATAGCACCTCTGGCCATTACACTACTACATTAACAGCTCACTGGTCACCTTAACATGATCAGAAAATTGAACTCCCTGAGGAACACAATAAATCAAAAAGTATAATCCATACATGAGATGTACGGGACGGCATCATTTTGAAAAGATAGTCATGGTAAATCTTCCAAAGCAGAAATCAAATATATCTTTTATAGATAATTCTGCTATGTATAGTAAACTTCAAGCTATCTGTAATAAAAAATGTAATATTTTACTTTGTTACTGTTGTATATCAATACCGTTAATACAAAATTTCTCTTATAAAAATTGTATTAAAATGTCTGAAAGGAAAAATATTTTGTTGTAATTTCATATTTAGTACCTTTCTCTGTTTTATTTTTCAAGACAGGGTTTCTCTGTGTAGCCTTGGCTGTCCTGGACTCACTTTGTAGAGCAGGCTGGCCTCAATCTCACAGAGGTCTGCCTGGCTCTGCCTCAGAGTGCTGGGATCACAGGCGTGCAACACTGCACCCAGCTTAGTACATTCTTTCAAAACTATATAAATGCCAAATATCTACTGAGAAAAAAATTAAAAATATTTTTTAAAAAAGGGTAAGATGACCATAAAACACTGAGTTTATTGAGATATATTTATCAGTTCAAACTTCTCTTTCAAATAAAATAACCTAAAATAGTGAATGTGAATTACCGCAAATATTCAGCCAACATATTTGAATGATAACTTGTGCAAAGATTTATTTTTAAAAACCTGGGTGTGGTAAAGAGCATCTACAATCCTAGCACTAAAGAGGCTAAGGAGGATCGCTACAAGCTCAAGACCACTCTGAGCTATACAGTAAATTCCAGGCTTACCTGTACTACATAGTGAGACCCTCTCCCCAAAAAACTAGAAAAACAGAAATTCTAAAAATATATTTATAGTCAGGTATAGTGGCACATGTCTTTACTTCCAGCAACTGGGAAGTGAAGGCAGGAAGATCTCTGTGAGTGAGTTCTAGGCCAGCTTGCGCTGGAGTTCCAGGACAGCCAGGGTTGTTATACTGAGAAACCCTTATCTTGAAAAGCCAAAACATAAAAATAACAATAAAAATATATTTATTGCTATGCCAAAATTCTGTATATTTACATGTCTCCGAGGCTGTTTCTTTTGGGCAGTAAGAAGAAGTCAATAAACCAAGAGCTTAAAATAGTATTGAATTTGCAATATGATTATCAGAGTATGCAAACTACTATTGTAACTCTTATTAAAGGCAATGGATGTACTCCTAGTCAAGGCACTGAATTTGATCTACAGTACTACCAAAAATCCGCAACAAAACTGTAAAATTTCACATAGGATTGATTCAAGTGTGTTAAGAGTATGTTACTTCTGTTTAAACAATGCCTACTCGTATCATTTATTTTGGGTTTCCTTTCGCTGGTGGAAATCTGATTGCAGGTGAAAGTGGTGATTACAAGTTCACCAGTAAAAAACAATGAAAATGGAAGACTTGCTCTTTCATACAAAATTCAGAGGCTTGATAAATTCTGGCTTTTCAAATTATTTACAAACAAACAAACAAAACCAAATTATTTCCAGAAAAGGCTACTTTTTTTTTTTTTTTTTTTTTTTTCTTTTCAAGACAGGATTTCTCTGAGTAGCCTTGGCTGCCATGGACTAACTTTATAGACCAGCCTGGCATTGAACTCACAGAGACCCACCTGCCTCTGCCTCCCAGAGTGCTCAGATTACAGGTGTGTGCTACCACACCCAGCTGGAAAAACCTTTACCTTAGTTTGAAAACTGTTGTCTAGCCATTTTTCAATCATTAGAAAACATTTATTACATACATACAAAAACTGAGAAATAGAAGCAAAATTATTTATCAATAAAATATTGCTTTATCTTTTATTACTGTAGAAAAAACACAATATTAAAAAAAAACTTGCCACAAAATATAAATTGATTTTGTAAGGTTCATTCTTATGAAATATCGGAGGAAAGTATCCTTACTCTTTATCTGCATCTCCTTCACTTTCTTCTTCATGATCAAAGCTCCAATTATTTTTAAAGCCTCCATCTCTCTTAGATTCTGATCTAGCCAAAGCTGAAATAAAACAAACTGAAATAAGTACTCATTAATGTAACTATTAAATATAAAAGAAATGTGAACATTTCCCAAACCCTGTTCTCAATTTTTAAAACCTTAATGCTTTTTATATTTTTAAACTATTTCTTGTAAACATCTTACTTCCTCCAAGAGAAAACAAATACATTAAGACTGGTGTGTGTGTGTGTGTGTGTGTGTGTGTGTGTGTGTGTGTGTAGTTTCTACAGACCCTTACATTACTAAAACATGCCAGGGACTGTGGCACAGGCCTTAAATCCTAGCACTCAGGGAGGCAGAGGCAGGTGGATCTCCATGCGATGGAGTCCAGGACAGCCAAGGCTACAGAGAGAAACCCTCTCTCAAAAAAACAAAAATTACTAAAACATGGTAAAATGGGGAGGGGCATGTCTATATGAACTATAAAAAAATCAACTTTACTCTCAATCTCTGATCAGTGATTTTCGAAATTAATGTCTCCAGTGTTTTGCCTTTTTATAAGAACTACATCCAGACCACTACCATTTCTGTTAGTCTCAACCACCTTTTAACAGAAGAAAAACAAGACTTTGTTATTTTGATAACCAGAAAATCTAGATCAGAATAGCCAAGATGTTCATTAGAAAATACAGAAAAAAGTGGGAAGGGGGAAATAAATGAGGTTCAAAAGCCAGCATCTGTCTTGTGCCACATGACAAAAGTCTAGATTAATATCAAGGTCCTAGTGCTATGAGAGGTCAGACTAAGCCAAGGGCAGGGGAAAGAAATGCACCTTGTTTTTAGAAAGGTAACAGGGACATCTGTGATGAGCTACATTGGATCTAAACTTGTCAGCTGAGTACTGAGGACAAAGCGTATCTATCTACAAGTCTGGTGGGGAAGTGAAGCTCAGGGACACAGTGCTTGCCCACCATGCTATAGACATTGGCTTCAAAACTTCAGCAGCATTACAAACAAACAAACAAAGCAAAAAATAAAGTATATCTACTAGTGATACGCAACCACTGGCTGCAGCCCAGGATTGCCATGAACGCAGCCCAACCAAAATTATAGGCTTACTTAAAACATTAAGAGATCATTTTTTTGTTGTTGTTTAAAAAACAAACAAAAAAAAGTAACTTAAGTTTGTGATTTTCAAGCATAACCTCTGTAGATGATAATTTCAGGTTACAATGCCAAAAGGCTAGGCACCCACCTAAATATTTTTATCTCGCCATAATTCAGATTTTTTTCCCCTTCAACTTAAGGATAATTTATTAGAATTTAAATAAAAGACAGGCAACCTGAAAATTTCAGCATCTTTCTAGAGAAGAAAAAAATGGAGACAAGAAGGAAAAAAAAAAAAAAAAAAAAAAAAAAAAAGCTACATTGTTGGAGGTAAAGTCAGCATGTAGGTCAGCCACATGGCCTCAGCAGCCAAGTAGCAGGGAGGCAGGCTTAAGAGAAATAAGGAAGTACAAAGTACCAGGAAAAGCATCCAAAAGAAAGACAGAAAAAAAAAAAAAAAAAGCTACAACTTGCCATGTCAAGACTCAGAAAGCCAGGCCCAGGTGAACCTCCAGAAGAATTGTAGGGACTGTCTCAAATTCAGGTTTTTAGAATCCCACCCCCCTCCCCCAAACATAATAGTGGTAAGAGTAGGAACTTTGATTCTGGATATTTTGCTTTGACTTTCCAGCCTAACACTGAAAAATTCATCTAGGGCTGGGTATGGTGCTGCATGCCAGCCATCCCAGCACTGAAGCAGAAGGATCACAACTTCATGGCCAGCTTGGACTATACAGTTTGAAGTCAGCTTTAGCTACATAGTAAAAGTCCCATCTCCTAAAAGTCAACAAAGACAAATTACATAATCTGTGAAACTTTGTAACATCACCCCAAAGAGACTAAGCAGAACATTCCTAATCACAAACCCCCAATCACTAAAGAGTTGAAACCAGAATTTTTCACCCTCTAAGGATACAGGAGTCCATAATTAAAACAGCTTCCTTTGGTCTCAGATACCTGAGTTGACAAAGGGCCATTAGCATTTGGAAGCACTGCAATTAGACACCCACAGTATGCTGCCTTCTTTACAAGTTCGATTGTGGCAAATTTGACTATCTTACTGTGAATTTTAGTTGTCAGCTAATAGAATCTACACTCTTGTGGGAAGACAGTTTCAATGAGGGGTTATCTAGATTAGTTAGCCTACAGGAATATCTGGAGAGAATTGTCCTGACTGTGCTAACTGAGGTGGGAAGGGCTCACCAACTCTAGATGGCACCATTCCCTGTTTTGGGGTCCCGTGCAATGTAAGAATGGAAAAAGCAAGTTGAGCAAGCATAAACATGATTCATTCGTTTTCTTTCAGCTCTTAACTGGATGTGACTAGGTGTTCCTGCTAGCCCTGACTTCCAAGCAATGGTGGACTGTAATTTT